ATGATAGGCATTATGACTTCACTTTTCATGAAAATATTTTTTTGCTCATTTTTTTTTGTCTGATTCAGTTACTTAAAAACAAACACTGCAAGAATCTAATAAGAAAATCATCTTCATATATATCAAACAAAATTTATCGTAAATATTCTAAATGTTAATAGGAAAATCAAGCAATTGTCATTATTATTTTATTCAAATTATGAAGCTTATCTTCAGTTTTACAAAACTAAACCTCTAAATTACATATCAACAACAGAATGTTGTTTCATTTTCACAATGGTATGTAAATATAGATCTCTTGTTTTATTTCACGAATAAATTATTTTAATTTTTCAACTGATGTCCAGATATACAGTACGACATCTTATTTTTTCTTTTATCACATAACATAGCTATGAATTATAATTATCAAGACCTTTACTAATTAACATATACGATAGATGTATTTTATATTTTTGTACAAAGTCATATCAATGTTCTTTTTCTCTATATGGGCTAAATCAGCGAAAATGGGACATTTACCCGTTGTATTTGTATGCAATTCTCTATCAGTATAGGTTTTTCAAGTGAATTGTTTTTGCATAGACTTACTTAAAATTATTCGCTCTATCACATGATTATTAGTTAATTATTAACTAATTAATAATTAACTAATTAAGAAGTAATTAGCGAATATCTTGATAACCAAATGATGCAAAAACTGGGAAACTTTAGGATAGCCTCTAGGATATGAGCCACATATATAGTAAAATTTTCTGCGAGATCGGACTTCAAAAAGTTCCTTCCAAAAAATCGACCTCTTTCAGAGCCTTTAGACGGAATTGAAACAAAAACGTTCGTCTTAGTATTATTCTAGGGACTCCTACCGTTGACATGAACTCCTTGGAATCGATTTCGAACTTTTCAGTTCGTTACCAGAGCATTTGATTGGTAGTGAAGTCATACTCAGTCACGTCGCTAACACTGAATAAATTTTATTTTTTGAAAAATCTAGACATGCTCAAAATAATTGTACACCGGGATTTAGTAGCTTTAGGAGTCGTATCTAATATCGCGTATTAAATTTACGGCGATTGTGCAATACTTGAAAATTTTTGAAACCCAAAGTATATCAAATGACCGTTGATGTTCTTTTTTTGTGTCACGCCGCTAACGCTAGTTTTTCGTTAATAACTGCACTGAACGAGGCTCTGGAGTGCTGATTTTTTCATGGCATCTAGAGTAATTAGAGACTCGTACAACATACAGAAATCACACCTAAACCAGCTGATAATTTCAAGATATGCATATTCCAAGTTTGCGATGTCACGTCGCTAACGAATGATTTAGCCCATATAAAGAAATCATAATTGAATGACACATCTGCATATTCTTTTATTCGAAACAAAGAAAAGTTTGAAATGTGCATTTTATGTGCTCGTTAATGGCAATGCTCTTTTGTAAATTCTTTGTTAAACATGAATCATTATTCTTATCAGTGTGATGATCATTATCATTTACAAGGTTCAATCTTTCATAATAAATTTAGTAGAAATGACATTCACAAAAATTGGCATTTACTGTGTATATTTTATTTTTTTCGTTACAGAATAAAAAAGATTGTAGATTGTCAAGAAATTCTTAAAATAATTCTTTGATACTCATAACAATAAATATTTTAGTTTTGTACATCTGTTAATATAATTTTTTAAAAGAAAAAGTTAATTGTTCATAATTTAATATTTTGAGTGACATGAAAACATGTTTGTGTTTCAAATTTCATTTGCCATCTTGATCTTGACTTGCTTTATCCTCATTGTCATTCATAATCAATCTTCTTTGTCATCTATTCTATTTTCCATGTAATTATTGAAAGCAATACATTCTATTCGAGAAAAGACAAAATTTGATAGACTCGTTTAATAGGTTTGAATAATTAAGTTTTCTTTTGTTCATAATTGTTTAATAAAAAATTACACAAATGTCTAAATAGCTTTATCATAAGTAGTTTTTTAGTCGAATTATTCTCAAGAAGTTTTCATACATCTCAATTACAAAAAAATAATGATCTAACATTTAACCCTTTCTGGCCGAATGTTGCCATATGGCAACATTTTTCTCTATAGGAGTACGGCATTTTTCAAATAGCCGATCGAAAAGGGTAAAGCATGAAAAGTAATTACTTACATCAGTTTACGTTATTCGTAACACCTGTAATAAACTAGCTATAAGGCTTTGTCATAAAATAAAGAACAGAATGATGAAAAGTTATATTTTATAAGAATTTATTATAAAACTTTTAATTCAATTCATTTATCGACATTAAATAATACTACTCAAGCTAATGTTAAGAGTAAATATTACTTTTTTGTCTTCTCAATTATGTTGCGAATATTCGATTCTTTATGAGTAATGCTAATAATTATACGGCGAGAGAAAACAAAATAACTTTTTTTCGCTTTTGTACAGACACTCTTAGCATCATGATTCACAACATTCTTCATCATATCGATATATAAAAGCAAAAAGAAAACTTTTCTTCCCGTAGTTCGATCGCACATTTTGTAGTACGTTAAAAATGGCCTATTATTACAATATGTTCTTCCATTAATAAATAAAAAGAAATGGCATACATGGAACTATCAAAGATCAATAAGCAATTTTTTCTTTCATTCAATAATTTATACAATAGTATAAATGAATTTTATGACATAGACAAAAAAAAGGAATAAAAAGAGCACGAGAGATATTAAAAAGAAAATGTTATAATCATTCTCTTTATATTCTTACTATTTTAACATACTAATCAATGTAGAATACGTAACATTGGTTCATGATAGAAGCATAAAAAACTTTACCCTTCTTTTTTTGCTTTCGAGTGAATCAATGGTTATAATAACTTGAGAAACAAGATGTAAGTAGGTAAGAAAAGCCTATTATTTTATTTAGCACAATTAAAATAAAAACATGCATTTTTTTTTACTTAAAGCAATTATTCAGTATGAATATTCCTTTGAGATGTATAAAAAAAAGGAACAGTTTTTATTTTCTTTCCACTGATTTCATCGTGTTCCTTTTTTCTTCTTTTTATGTATATCATCGATTATTTATAATTATAAAAATTTCTAATCCTCGTGCATTCATAGTATTAAATTACTACTAGCATAATGCACGTAATACTAATAAAGGCAGCTCGTTTTTTCTTATTCTCCAGTTTATAAGACAAAAAAGCAGACCTTTATAGAGATTTTTCTATAGAAAAAAAAAGAAGAAAAAGGTGAATAAGAAACGATTTTATAAGAGATGAAATACCATCATAGCATTAATACAATTAACTTCGATTTTTTTCAAAGCAATCATTTTTCATAAAAGAAAGTAAAAAAAGACAATAACGTCTCATGTTTTAAACAGACAAGATTCTTATAGTGATCATTAAAGTGCTAAAAACTTCAGGTAAGTATTCTTGTCATCAAATAAATTTCAATAAATTTTTTTCGATGTATCAATTAAATAATAAAAAGATTATTATAGCATACTTTTTTCTCTTTTAAGCTTTTCTCATCAAAAGTTAAATCACTACGATCGACGCGGTTTGTGTTTTTTTATTCCGTATTGTTCGTCTTGATTTTAAATAATCGTCATATAAATTTCTTCTGCTATGATAGAATATCTTTAGTATTAGAGAAGATGTCTCTATCATAGGAAGTTCCTTTGAAGACGCAACGCTTCAAACAAAACAAATAAGTATTTCGTAGTGATTCAATTAATTCAGATATTGTAACTTTAATCAGAAATATTTCTAATTTTCATGATTCTCATATGAAGATTGAAGTCAAAAAGATTTCTTTGCTTTTCTAATTCTGAAAAGTTCTCTAAACGACTGCAACTTTCTCTAGAGTCTTTTTACTTATTAGCATTTAAAAAAGAGATATATAGTAGAACATATTATAGAATATTTAGCTGCTTAAATGTGACAGCAGATCCAAAATTTTCTATGGTTGGAGAATAGCGGTGGAGAATGTATCATAAATATATATCTATATAAATCCATGTTATTTCACTTATTATTAATGCTCGTTAAGTAGTAGTACAAATTTCTCGTTTCAAATACTATGATTATTCTCTTTCCCTGTCATGTTAATATGAAAAAGAGAGGAAAACTGAAATCCTAAGAAGAGAGAGAACGAAATGTTCTAAATGCAACAATCAAACAATAATATATAAATAAAGAACAAAAAAAAAGGAGAACGACAAAGTTAGTAAAACAAGAAATATATACCACTACTTATAAATATTTTTTTGATTTTCTTTTAATTAAGAATATTTGTATTTGTATTAAATTTAATTTAATAGACCATTGCATAAATTCTTTTTCTATGTTAAAAGATATAAGTACTGTCTTAAAATTCTCTATCTTATGAATTAACTACGAATATTTTTATTCTTATCGATGAAAACAATGTTCGATGAAAAAAAAGTAAGTTTCTGAGAAAATATAAATTAAGAGAAAAACGAACTAAAATTCAATGAAACATCTCTAATAACTTTTTTCCTAGTTCTTGCACCTTTCTTCTTACGCATGTGCCTAGTACGAGTGTAATGTTCTTAAGAAAAAAAATAATTTATTAAGGAAACAAGTAATCCTTTGTGATTGATGATGATCATTTAATACAACTTGAATGTTTTTCGAGTATTTAATAGCAAATCAAAAAATATTATTTTATTAGTAGACAGAAATATTTTTAATATAACATGAAGTATTAAATCTTCTGGGAATCATAAAAACAAAGATCTTTTTATGATAAAGATGTTAATCTAACAAACTTATCCCTTCTACACCGAATTGCAACAGTGTTACTTGCATAAAGGACTGAAGAAAGAAGAAAAGAAAGCGAAATGATAATAATATTTTATTAAGGAATTTACTATTATTTCTCGAGAACACTTTGTATAATTTATAAAAATTTCTCTTATTTTCTTTCTAGTCTTTCATCAGTCATATACAAAATGATTCAGCATTAATGTCAACTGTAACAACAAAAAGACTAGACTTATTATTTACTAGCAAAACATTAATTATTTTTTCACTTGTTATATCTATATTTAGTCTATATTATTTTGTTATAAAAAGTAAAACATCATCATCAACAATCAATTTTCTTGTTTCATCATTACCATCATTGTCATCAAGAGAGCTTAATTCTAATCCATGTCAATTATCTATGAAAGAATCTGATGATTGGTTTTGTGAATTAGATTCCGATTGGAAACGTCGAAAAATGCTCCATCATATACAAAATAAACGTAATCGGATATCAGATATGCGTCCATTATTTTTTCAAAATAATTGGGAACCAACCATACAATGTGAATTTGAACGACGAGTTGGTAATATTGGTGATGGTGGAAAATGGGTTTGTGATATACATCGTTTTGGACCTATGAATACTACAAATCTACTGGTTTATTCATTGGGTTCGAATGGTGATTTTAGTTTTGAACGTGCAATTAAAGAACTATTTCGAAATGCAGAAATTCATACATTTGATATGGGACTATTTAAATGTCCTGAAAATGTTTGTACATTTCATCAGGTTCGTTTAGGTAGTGGCAAAAATGATAGTTCAAAATCTTTACAAATGGTTATGAATGAACTTGGTCATCAAAATCGACAGATTAATATACTTAAAGTTGATATTGAAGGTAGTGAATTTAATTTTTTTGAAGAACTATTTCAGTCTTCAAATAATAATCAAAGTGATTTACCTTATATTCGTCAAATTCTTTTTGAAATTCATCTTGGTGCTGATAGAAGTGAAGCACCATGTCGACGTGCACATAAGTTATTTGAATTATTTCGTTCTTATAATTATGCAATATTTCATAAGGAAGCAAATTTATATGATGCACAAAATGTTTTTGAATATGCAATGTTACGTTTAAATCCATCATTCTTTATATCACCATTATGATTATGTAAATTTAATCCGAATGTTTTCATTTCATATCTGTTATTTGTTATAGAAATGTCTGCTTTGTTTTTTGACAGAATCGATATTGTTTGAACAGAGAAAGATGAATTGAGTTTTTATGAAATTTTTGTTTATGTTGTCTTTTCGTGAAAAAAAGTTGAATTATTTATAAATAAAAACAGAAAACATTATATCGATCCAATAATTGCATACATGTAAAAAAATGCGTTAAAATAAGTAAACCATGGCGTAGTTAGAAGTTTTTAAGTGATGGACTGTTTTCCACCTAAACTATTTTAAGTAGTAGGCAGTAATGGGCAATAAAAAAACCAATTGAAATTCACTTTTTCTAAAACTTATTACCATCACAAAAATCGATGTTTATTGAAGAGAAGTTTGTTTCTCTTAACAAATAGGCGGCTCGTTCACTTTTTTTGTATTAATTCACAAATGCACGTCTCAACATTCGTATATTCAAATATATAACGTTAACAAGGATAAATAAGCACAAATGAAACCGCTAGCGAATTCAAGTGGATCAACGAGTGTTTGGGCGAAAAAAAATCATTGCATGATGATCATTGTGACCATCGATTTTATAAAAAAAAAGAAAAAGATAGTCGATTGATCTTTCTCGATCACTTAACAAGATGACAACAAGATACAATGTAATAATGTGACGCCGCTTAGGCCTCTATACATGTATGTTTATCTAGATTTTTCATCGTTAGGAAATAAGTATCGTTTGGAAAATAATCCATGAACAATTACTTTCAAACTTGTGAACGATTGCCTAATGGCTATATTCTTGACTACGTAATTCTAAATGACTTTTTTAATGCATGATAATACAGAAAAAAGAACATTTTCAAAATATGTTCCACAGTAAATCTGAAAAGAATAACGAAAACACATGAAAACATAATAACACATCAACTGGAATCGTGATGATACTTTATTGAATCCGATCAGTTACAGATTGGTTGTTTATAATGATTCTCTCAACTTTGGCAGAAAGAAAAATGTCGAAAGGTAAAAACGTCGAAAGGTTAAACTATCGAAATGTAAAAATTTTCAAAGTAAAGTTGCTCAAAGATATGTTTTCTAAACATGACTCGCAAAGATGTCATAGCAAGTTGATTTTAATTCCACCGTGTTCGATTAAATTTCTTATTGACTCATTGCGTCACTTCTCGTCCGGTATAGCGTAGTAAATTGACTATTCAATAAAAATAGTCGATTATATACAATCGTATACAATCATAGGTACATATATATAAATGGCATCGGTCAATACTGCCTCAAATTCCAACAACGAAAAATTAGATTTTATCACCTCGAGCAAAGGTCAACCGTTATTAGTGATGAATAATTACGTATACAAGTGCACCAAAAAGACAATGAAAAAAAAATGCTGGATTTGTACAACGAATGGCTGTAAGATCTTTGTTCATACAGACATAAACAATAACTATTTATGTGGTGGTAAAAATGAATATGAGCATGCTGCTAATCCAGAATTACTTGAAATTCATCAAACACGTCAACAAATAAAACGACAAGTAATGAATGAGTTAACACCAATAGGAGCAGTTTATGACGAGAAAATGTCGAAAACATCTATGAGTTCAACAGCCATTGCTATATTTCCAACGGTCCGCGAAATTTGTAAGTGACTTTATCAGTACTTATAAAAATAAAAAAATCTGTTTTACTTTAGACCAAGGTTTTGCGAAGACTCGACGAAAAGCAATGCCACCCGCTCCACAGTCATGTATATTTGACATTCCCGAACAATATACATTGACAATTGACAATAAAAGATTTTTATTATTTGATGAAGCTCGTGTTCGATGAGAGCGGTTATTAATTTTCTCTAGTGATATTCAACTTGATTTGTTATTTAAATCTTCGATAGTTTATATGGATGGAACTTACAGTAAAACACCAAATCATTTTTTTCAATTATTTACAATGCACTCTGTGAATTTTGACATTTGTTAGTATAAAAATTTTTCTTTTATTTCTAAATATTTTTTAAAGGCATGCCTAGTGTCTTTGGACTGCTCATAGATAAAAAATCTGCTACATACAAACAAATTTTTACTGAGTTGAAAAATATTGCATCAAAAACAGGAATCAATTTTTCACCATCACTAATTGTGTCTGATTTTGAACCGGGTTTAATTTCGGCAGTGAAATCAGAAGTTAGTATATTATGTTTCAATTAAAAAAATCTTGTTTTTTATCAATTTGATTATTTTCAGTTTCCATCAGCTACACATAAATGCTGCTTTTTTCATTTTTGCCAGGTTATATATAGGCAAATACAGGGTTTAGGGCTACAACAACATTATTTATCTGATGAAAATTTTCGTCTTTTATGTCGACAGTTGATAGCATTAGGATTAATGCCACTAGACAAAGTGGTGAGCAGTTTTGAAGATCTAAGAAGTGCTGCTCAATGTTTATCCCAATTAGAGGTTATAGAATTATTACAATACTTTGAAAATAATTGGATATCAAATATTGAATTATGGAATATGTTTGGATTCTATAGTTGAACCAATAACACCTGTGAAGGTTAGTAAACATCATGTACCAACAAAATGAAATTTCTGTTTTTCTATAATTTAAGGCTATCATAATAGAATAAATAGTCGGTTGCAACGGAACCATCCAAATATATGGCAACTTATTAGCTTCATGAAAGTGGAAGAAAAACGTGTTCAAAATATACGTCTTCAATGGTCTTCTGGCGCATCAAATAAAAAAAAGAAACTCACTGCAGCATTACAAAATCGACATACTATGGGCTATTTAATTTCAGTCTGAATTTATCAAATAAAAATAATACTTGATTTCAAACTGAAACGTGAGTCTAGGAGTGAGGGAGGGGGGTGACTGATGGTGTGGGTGTTGGTCTGGGACCCACACACACACCCACACCCATGGTGCGGGTGTGGGCGCGCGAGTGAGGGTGAGGGTCTGCTTGTGGTTTTGTGTACTATAGGCTTTAGTCCCCTGCACAGGGGACTAAGCGGGGACTAAGCTTTTTGTGGGGGGGACTAAGGGGGACTTTGCAGGACTAGGGGGGACTAAGGGTTTTTAGTGAGACTACGTAGTATCAAGCGAGAAAAGTTTGATTCGGAAGAAATTGGTGTGGTTTTTTTGATTATGGAATTCAGTTTGAAATAAAAAAGCCCATAGACTCAAAATCGAATAGATGCTTTGTATCATCGATATAACAATTATTTACTAAGTGCATCTGATCTTCTTACTGGTCTGTCTTTCATCGTGGCGAAGAAGAAATGATGCGCCAAAAATTTTAATTAACTTTTTCAATTGACTTATCGAGAATTTTTGCTTGTCTTTGATTTATTTCTTATTTGATAATAAAATTGATTTATATTAAACTGTTGATTATTTTGCATACTCAGAAAAAAATCTAAATTTGCTTTGGTATTTTTTTTGTTCGCTAATAGCTTTACTTTCGACATTTTTATATTTAGATATTTTTCTATTTCGATATTTTTCTTTTTCGACATTTTTATAGTTCGACATTTGTATAATTTTTTTTTTCGACATTTTTTCCTTTCGACATTTTTACTTTCGACCAAAGTTCAGATTACCGTTTATAATACAAAGGGTGTGAGTATGGATGTAGATATTAATGCAGATCTTATCTTTATTCGCATCCACACTCCACAATCACCTTTATTTCTATACGAAATATGTTCTCTAGATAAACACTTCTAATATCTGTCAAACTAGTTTAGAATTACAGCGTTATCAACATTACAATAAGATAATATTTAAAAGAGTAACGATTGAGAATGAAGGAGGATTTTCTAACGAGGGAACTTCACGATTTCATACACTCTGTTTCAGTTCATATCAGAACTGCCAGCCTGCCAGGCCAGGCTACCAGGCCAGGCTGAGTTTTAGAATTTTAGCCTGGCCTGCTGTAGACCAGGCTAGATTCAGCCTGGCCTGCAGGCCAGGCCAGGCCGAAACTTGTGGCCTGAGCAGCATGTAGTCAAATTTATTGCGCCTTGATCTATTCTGATTCGAAGTGGCATTGCAGATTTAAAATACTTGGACAAAGTGATTGTAGTCATATTTTTATTTTTAAAATTCATAGCAAATTATAAAATGATAGGCTTTCATTTTAAAACAAACATCTGTTCGATGCTTCGATTTTCGATGTTTGATGTAAGTCTTTTTGTAAACAGAATTGGGAATGTGTAACCTGACCATGTCCTGCGATGAATGACAAGGATGATCATTAGTGATATTCAATTGTCTCATCCATTCTAATTCAGTATTTACAATGAAGATTCAAAGTGGCACCAAACTCGGAGAGTTTACATCAACTCACAAGGCTATATTTTCTCGTCAGAATAGATAATTTTTGTAAACTAATTTATCTGTTTTCGTATTTTTATGCTGACTTGTGATCAAGTTAGAATGTGTCTCAATACGGAAGGATAATGTATTCTTATAAAAAATGAGACTGACTAATTATAAAATCCAACAAGCATCATTCAGAAAACAAAGACAAGCAGCAACCATTTCTGACTTGGATTAAAACTGTTTGCTATTTTTCAATTTTTATTTTATAACTATTACAGTATACGTTTTTCACTGTTGTGAAACAACCCTGATGAAAGTAGAATGGATTTGAAGGCATAACTGTCTGCATAGGCAAGACGATTCTTTTTTCAGCAGTCTATCTTTTGGTTTTCTATTTTTGGAAAATTTCGCAATTTCATCATCTTAATTGAGGAGAAATATGCGATCACGACTAGGATGAGATAATGAAAAGAAGTCTGATGCACATTGTATAAATTTATCTATAAAAGTAGTAAAATATTTGATAAATTTCTTCTGTTCTCTCAAAAGCTTGCAGGCCAGGCCAGACTGGATCAGAGCAGGCCAGGCCAAGCATCTTATTCTTAGCCTGGCCTGCCATTCGTACTGGCCTGGTCAGGCCAGGCCAGGCTGAAAAAAACCGGCCTGTTGGCAGCTCTGGTTCATATTATACTCACAGAGAGAATTTACAGTGTAGATAAATCCACAATAAGGAATGATTTCCTTTAGGTCTTTGTTCTCGAGTTAGGATCATTTTACTGAATTTCCGATCCATTGCTGGATATTATAAGCAAAGTCAAATTACGGGAATCGAATCTGAAATTTCATCCACAACAGATTTCACGATTCTCATCATGTTCGGAAAGTTTCATCGACAATGAATGGATTCTCCTGAAGATGTTGAATGTTAAACGAATCGCACTTTCTCGACTGTATGAGAATAGATCTTTTTTTTCATATTCGTTAGTTCGGCAATATAGCACCTGTTTCAACTGAAATTTTAAGGATAAACTAAGACTCATAAGATTTATTTTTGGGTAATATATTGGATTGAAATTCTTTGATTTGATTTTCTCGTAATACCCCGTCTAGGCTGAAAATTTAGTAAAGTAATTATAACTCAAAGCAAGGATTTGGTAGAAAGAATCATATCAGGATTTTTACCTACACTATAAGCGCTATCAATGAGCAAAATACGAGCTAAAAGAGAGTGTACTAGTAGGTGATTTTTTCTCATGAAGAGCATCTTTTTCAAGGACGACATGTCAGGAACATATTTTACAAGCACGAAAAATCAAGGACATTTGTTACGAGGACGATAAGTTGAATACCTTTCCAAAGGGTATTGTAGGCTATATTCAATTCATCTTTTAATAGTTTTGTTTAAACGGTATATGTTTTGCGTCTGATATTAAAAAATAATTACCTAAACGGTAGCAGACTTCACCTCATAAAACGGCATTTGCACTTATAATAAGAATGTGAATATTTTAATTGGCAATAATTTATTTGCTAAGTAAAGTTATTAAAATGCTAAGCAGACTTTTGCCAAGTAAAATTTGTACATGCTCAGTAGATGAAATTGACTACTAAGTGATGATATTGAACACTCAGTTAGTTTATGGTTTCTCAGTGATAAAAAATATTCGCTAAGTTAGATAATTATTATGTAAATAAAAATTGTTTTTGCTAAGTTAATCAATTGAAATCATAGTTCGAAAATAAAATCGCTAAGGAAAAATTATTAGTACTAAGCAATTTCTCATAAAGATCATGTACGATTATCTAACACAGATTTAGTTTTTTTATGATGGTATGGTGTATATATTTTCTCTGTTTCTTTTCTTCTGTCAGTATTGAACTATCATCGTGATACATGTATATTTCACGTATGTTTTTCGTTTTAATGTCATGCGTCAAGGTTAGGGGTGCAACAAATCCAAACATTTGAGATTTGATGTAGAAAGATTTGAGTTTAATTTAGACTTGATTTTGGATTTAGATTTAGATTTGGGTTTGATCTCAAATTACCCAAATCCGATGAAGCGCCATAAGATAAAGAATAAAAAGAATGAAGAGAATCGAAAGTCTTCAAAATTGTTAAGAAATGGTTTGGATTGTGTATAGATTTGGATTTGGGTTGTAGATGTGGATTTAGATTTGGATTCGATGTTCGGATTTGGTTTCATTCTACCATAAACCAAAAGTTCAAGTCATGTTAAATTGAAACCAAATTCCAAATCCAAATCCAATTCGTAGACACAAATTCAAACCCAAATCCAAATTCCGAATTCCAAATCTAAATATAGTGCAAATTCTTAGTGATAGGTCCGAACCAGGTCCAAACGATAGCTGCAATCCAAATTCAAACGGAATTCAAGTCTGAAACCAAATTCCAAATCTCAGAAACAAAATCCAAATCCCAAAGATTTTGTCTCAAATTCCAAATGTGCTAGAGATTTGATGCACCCCTAATCAAGGCATACATTTTTTTCTTCGAGGATACTCCAATAAAATAATTTCTCTTTTCTGTCTCTTGTTTCTTTTCTGCGTGATCTGTATTGATCTCTCAAGATTTTTTTTTTGAGCTTCCTATTTCCTAGTGCTCCCTCTCCTTCTCCTCCCATTCACTTTGTTTTTCTAGAAATATTTACCATTGAAAGTTTACTTCAAATTTGGGGTGTTCGTGTGAGCGTAGAGATAAGAGTGTTTGTAAAAAGTACACTTTCACTAACATTCAGAACTACTATCGACACTCACACTCTGAAATCGATAAAAGTCTCCGTTGAAATTAAAGTTCCTGAGAGCTCATTTCAATTGATTCGTGCGCTAAGAGTGTAAGCGCATGTAAATTTAGAATGTTGGCGTTTGCGAATGTTAGCCTTCTTTTTAAAAACAATCCTATCCTCAGATTTCATTAGAATACAAAATCGAACTGTCCTATTCTCTCAGCTACTTCAAGGAATAGATTTTCAAACATGGTATTGATTTGAATATTGGGTTGAAGTTTTGAAAACGACCTCCATTAGCAAAGGATATGTCACGGCATGATAAAAGGAAACGAAGATGATTACGAAAAGCAACAGAAGTTTCATTATTACAATAACTGTACGATGAAGTCCTTTACCTAGCAAAAATCGTTTATTTATCCATTGACTTCCAATATTTTGCTTAGACAATCAAAATTATTTACTTAGAGTTTTAATAAAAAAACTTAGCAAAAATAGTTATTCTACTTGAAATTATTTTAAGTAAACTACTTAGCAAAAGTCGCAATTTTTTTACTTAGTTTTTATTTAAAATTATTTAACATTTAAATGGTAGCTATTTGAATTTGTTTGTAATAAAAACTGGTTTTTCAATAAGAAAACGTATTTTAAGAAAATGCATTCTTGTGTGTTTCTTAAAAACGAAGCGATTTTGCATTAAAAGAAAGCTTAAAAGATCGAGTTTATATGCATGAAAAATAAATGCATTCAAACGCAAAAAAGAAGATGTGTTAGAACGATAACAAACGTGACGTATATTCAGGATGAAAGAAGTGCCTCTCATAAGCAGTCTTGCATAGTATTTTAAGATGACGATTTAAACTGAAAAAATTTGTCGTAGATAAACAGGATGCGACTAAGCATTTTGCCGAAAAAAAGGCCGATGCATTTGAACGCGTTATAATAAAAAATCATGCATTAACAAGCAAATATAGAATTTTCTTTTCCTTGACAGTTGTCCTTGAACGTGGGACTCCACGAATTTTTTTATAGATATGTAAAATATACACACTCATTTTTTCATCAAAAGAGCGGTGATGAAACAAAGAAAAAAAAAGATGGTTACAACTCATTTGTCGTTATTCAGTCAATATGATATTTTTATTTATGAGGTTTCAAATGTGAAGTTGCACTTGCGAGGTATTATAGTTAAGCTTATTTTTTGCTTTCATCCATACTAAAACGCTAACATACAATGCGGACGAAAACTAAAGCAATGCAAGATTATTTTGATTTCTTCTCTATGCATAATCATTACTTTGGCGTCGAATTTGATCACTACTTTTCAGCTTATTACGCTAATTTGTATAATAAAGTATATTTCTATTGGTTTGTTTTTAATTGCTTTATCTTAAAGAAATTCAAAAGAAAAATATACTATCCAATTTACTCAGCATGGTGATCTGATCAAACAGAAAGCGAAAACGAAATACGACAAGAAACGAACAGCTGTGTTGCAGTCACACCACAGTATACAAGACATTGGTACGCTTTTAATCAAACTCTTTAGCTCAAAGACTGATAATATGCTGCGTTTTCGACTACCGCGACCTAATGTGTGTGTGTTTTACAAAAGTGATTTCATGATTCATATACAAACGCCAAATAGAAAAAAAATTTGTGTTTCCTTACTTTTCGTCCACCCTGTATAATATTATAGATTTATTTTTATTACTTTTTGCTAATATCATCCTAGATATCTCTCATTAGTTCTTCATGCGTAAATAAATTATCAAGAATTTTAATTGTTCTACGAAATCTCGATCTGAAATATATCAATTAAAGAATCTACAGTTAAATTAAACTTCAAAGACGAATTTCGTTAACCGTGTTGATTTCCTTGATAAAAACGAGAAATAATTGTGACGATTTTAGATAGAGTAGGCACAGCTCGAGAGCTATTATCCTAATACTTTATTAGTGTAAGTAAAATCGTGCGTATACTGTATTTTTCCCGCTACTTGTATACTATTTCTTAGCATAGAATGACCTTGAAGAATACAGTAAACATAATAACAGAAAAATACAGGTTTAAGGATAAATTCAGAGAAGAACAAAGGTTCCAATACGATTATGGTTAACACTATGTACGAAAGAACGATACGTCGAGAGTGTGGTTCCAAAGTACAGGTAAGAGAGATAAGCATAGCGGATAGAAAAGATATTGTGATTATTCCTTTTATGGATAACACTGTACGAGGCAAGGATACAATAAGCGTGTCATTCCAAAGTACAAATGGAAGAAGAACGAACGGGAAAGGGTATTGCGATTATCTCTATGCACTCGAGAAGAACAGACTAATAAAAGAAGTATGAATAGATAACAGATAGAGAAAGGCATCACACTTCTTTTAATCGAGGAGAAGCAACAACTTACACGTTATGCTCGGTTGTTACAATGATGAATGTTTGTTGAACGTAGTAAAAACCGTTCCAGAATAATACGTATAAAATTATATTTTCTTAGCTGATCATTGCGCGTGAATACGTGTTTTGCCCTTGAACGCAGTAATACTTCTTAAGTTTGCGCGTAAAACGGGTAACAACCCGTAAATCTAGAAACACTTTACGGCCTATACCGTGTTCTAGAATGATTAACACGTTTTAGTTCACTGATATAATCGCTAAAAATCCATTTTAACGAATTTTTAACGCGTCGTGAGGCTTTTGTAGGACTTGATGAGTTATATTAAGTTACTTTGTATTATTTGTCAAGAGTATTTTGCCTAATTTGTAAAACTGCTCTTATTTTCTTTCTAGTCTTTAATCAATCATATACAGAATAATTCGGTATCAATGTTACGCATAACAAAAATAAAACGAGATCCATCATTTGCTAACAAAGGATTAATTACTTTTTCACTGATTATAACGATATTTAATCTATATTATTTTGTTATAAAAACTAAAACACCATTATCATTATCAGGAGAATTTAGTCCTAATCCATGTCAATTATCTATGAAAGAATCTGATGATTGGTTTTGTGAATTAGATTCCGATTGGAAACGTCGAAAAATGCTTCATCATATACAAAATAAACGTAATCGGATATCAGATATGCGTCCATTATTTTTTCAAAATAATTGGGAACCAACCATACAATGTGAATTTGAACGACGAGTTGGTAATATTGGTGATGGTGGAAAATGGGTTTGTGATATACATCGTTTTGGACCTATGAATACTACAAATCTACTGGTTTATTCATTGGGTTCGAATGGTGATTTTAGTTTTGAATATGCAATCAAAGAACTCTTTCGAAATGCAGAAATTCATACATTTGATAAGAGATTATATAGATGTCCTGAAAATGTTTGTACATTTCATCAGGTTCGCTTAGGTAATGGAAAAAATGATAGTTCAAAATCTTTACAAATGGTTATGAATGAACTTGGTCATCAAAAGCGACAGATTCATATACTTAAAGTTGATATTGAAGGTGGTGAATTTAGTTTTTTTGAAGAACTATTTCAGTCTTCCAATAATAAACAAAGTGATTTACCTTATATTCGTCAAATTCTTTTTGAAATTCATCTTAATGTTGATAGAAGTGAATCACCATGTCGACGTGCACATAAGTTATTTGAATTATTTCGTTCACAAAATTTTGCAATATTTCATAAGGAAGCTAATGTAGTTAATGCACAAAATCTTTTTGAATATGCAATGTTACGTTTAAATCCATCATTTTTCATATCACCGTTATAATTAATAAAATTTTATCCGAATTTTTTCATTTCATATCTGTTATTTATTATAGAAATGTTTGCTTTGTTTTTTGACAGAATACGATATTATTTAAACAGAAAATAAAATGAATTGAGTTTTCATGCAATTTAAGTTTATGTTGTTTTTCCGTGAAAAAAGTTCCTTTATCGATAAATAAAAACAGGAAACTGTATATTAATCAAATGATTGCAGACATGTAGAGAATGTGTGAAAATAAATGATTAATGGCATAGCCAGGAATGTTTAAGTCATGGACAGTTTCCTAGCTAAATAATATTGAGAAGTAGGCGGTAATGGATAATTAAAAGTCAATCAAAATACACTTTTACCAAAACTTAGTACCATCACAAAAATCGAGGTTTATTTGAGCAAATTTCATTACTATCAACTGAAGAGCGGTTCGCGCTCTGTTTATTTTTTTCGCACTTTCTCGATTTTGTTAGAATAGACCTTTTTCTTGATATGTGTTACCTCAGCAATAGAATATCTGTTTTGGCTGAAACTTTCAGGATATTATAAGAATCGTAAGATCTATTCTTTTGGATAAAATTGCGAATTGAAATTCTTTGATTAGATTTTTCTCGTAATATTTCGCATTAGACTGGAGATTAACTAAAATTATTATAGCTCGAGAATAAGAGCCTATTGGAAAGAATCATTTTAGGAGTTTTAACTATACTATTAGTGCTATCCATGAGCAACATACGACCTCATAGAGTGGATAAGCTGGTGATGTTCTCTTGTGAAAGGCATTTTTTTGGAGGACGAAAAATCGAAGACATTTTACAGAGGCCATTGTAGACTATAATCAATTCATCTTTATAACGATTGTATCTAAACAGTATATTATTTAAGTCTGATATTTCAAACTGTTTGCCTAAACGATAGCAGACTGCATCTGATAAAACAACATTTGTTACTGATAATAAGAACATGAGTATTTTGAATTTGTGTGTCAGAAACCCTCGTTTTACAGTAAGAAAACGTATTTAAAAAACCATTCTGGTGCATTTGTTGAAAAAGAAAGCGTTTTTTTCAGTAAGAGAAAGCTAAACAATCAGATTTTAATACATGAAAAATACATGTGTCCAAACGCAGAAAAGAAAAGGTGTTCGAAGGATGAGTCACATGGCGTTTATTGGGGATCAGAGACGTGTCTCTCACAAGTACGCTTGAATAATATTTCTAGGTGATGTTTTAAGCTGAAGAAACGTACCGCAGATAAAAAACGACCCGATTAAGCGCGTTGCAAATAAATACCGATGCATTTGAACGCGTTGCAATAAAAAATAATACATTTACAAGTAAAAATAGGATTTACTTTTGCTTGACAGTTGTCCTTGAAATACAGGACGATACAATATTTTTTTTTATGAATATGCGAAGTATACACGCTCATTTTTTCATGAATAGAGCAGAGATGTGACAAAGAAAAAAAAAGATAGGTACACATCATTGGCTGCTATTCAATCAATATCATACTTTTATTCACAACGTGTTTCATATGTGAAATTGCTCTCTTACTGTATTACAATTAAGCTTGTTTTTCTCTTTCATTAATACTAAATCGCTAATATTCAAGATGGACGAAAAGTAAGGCAACTCAAGACTTTTTAACTTCGTCTCTATGCATGAATAATAAAATCTCTTATTTGAAGCAACATTATTAGTATCTGTGCTCAATAATCTATTCCCAAAAAAACACACAAATGTATCTTTTATAGTTCAAGGTGATTGGAGCAGGAATTCTAATTCTCTTGTCGCATTCCATTACTATTTTTCGATTAATGGCCCTGATTTGCAGAATAGAGTATATTTCTACTGATGTTTTGCATTTCTTTATCTTAAACAAGTTCAAAAACGAATAATACTATCCAATTTATTCTGAAAATCGATTCAATTAAACAAAAAACCAAAATACAACAAGAAACGATCAGTTTTGTTGCAGTCACACCACAGTATACAAGACACATCGGTGTGCTTCTGACTATCACTATGTAATAGGTCAGCTTTACATAAGACATTTTATTATTCATATCCACAGACCGAATCAAAAAAAAAGTTGTGTTTCTTTACTTTTCGACAGCCTAGTGTAAAATTATAGATTGTTTTTTATCACTTTTGGATAATACAAACTTAAAACAACTCTCATTAGTTATTCATTGCAAAGCGAAAAATCAACCATTCTCGCGCTCCTACGAAAACTCGCCCTGAAATATATCAATTAACAACTTTGCAGATAAACTAATCTTCATAGACGAATTTCGTTAACCGTGTTGATTTGCTTGAAAAAGAGAGAAATGAGCAACGGTTGTTGAACTTAGCAAACACTTATCTAGAAAAATACTCATAAAATATGTTCTCTTAGCTGACTATTGCGCGTGAGTAAGTGTTTTCTCCTTGAACCAGATAAGCTTTCTTTGGTTTGCGCGTAAAATAGGTTACAACCTGTAAAACTAGAAACACTTTATGCCATTTAGCGACTTCTAGAATAGATAACGCGTTTTCATGCATTGAGGAAATCATTCAAAACACTGCTTCAATGAAATTCAAACGCATTCTTAAGAATTTTGTCCGACTAGGTGAGTTTTATTAAGTTACTTTATATTATTTATCAAGAGTATTTTGCCTAATTTGTAAAACTGCTCTTATTTTCTTTCTAGTCTTTAATCATTCATATATAAAATGATTCAACATCAATGTTAAGCATAATGAAAAAGAGAAGAGATTCATCATTTGCTAACAAAACATTAATTACTTTTTCACTTATTATACTGATATTTAATCTATATTATTTTGTTACAAAAACTAAAACATCATTATCATCATCCGGAGAACTTAGTCCTAATCAATGTCAATTATCTATGAAAGAATCTGATGATTGGTTTTGTGAATTAGATTCCGATTGGAAACGTCGAAAAATACTTCATCATATACAAGATAAACG